TGAGAGGTGGCTTCTCACCATGGGAGGGTTGGGTGTGCATTGGCAACAGAGCTCTACATGGGCACTCTTAGTTCTGGCAAAAAGGAATCCACGTCCAAATGGACAGGTTGCTTAGATGGGGCGTCTGGAACTCAACACTCTACTGCATACTGTGCATGCTTTTTCATATTGTGGCACCAGTGGAACTGCCCACAGGTAAACATCCAATGGGCATATTTCATTAGTCATTTCAGGTCTCTGCCTTTTTAAAGTATCCCTCTCAGAATAGATGTGGAAAAGTGAGGATATAATGGCCCATCGCGTCTTGAATCGTGGGGAGCCCTGTCCTTTCTGCGGGGGTGGAGAGAATAGATTTGTCCCCTCCTTCATTTCTTCTCAGACTCTTTGAATGTTATTGCCTTAGAGAGTTCGCCTGGGGCTCATATGGTAGAGATTTTAACAGACCCTCTTCCTCTGTGCTCGGAGAGGCAAATGCAACGTGGCAGCTACCTCGAGTACTGCTGCCGACGTGCACCAGTACCCCGGGGAAGGGCTGTAGTTTTTCTCATTTGTTCAACAGTCAGAAACTGCGTATCCCTGCCTGGAGCTAGAGCATAAAATTCACACCGGTACAAAAGATGGCACAGAGGCCGAGGGTAGGCTGTGTGTCTATCTGCCCCTCTGACTACCTCCACGGAGAAATCCACGCTTCCTTTTCATTTTTTAGGCTGATGTTGGGTGAACGGTTCTTTCAAATCCACGGCAACCAGAGAAGTGACCACATAGCTCTTCTCCCTGCGTTGACAAGGGTAGTAGCCCTCTGTGACGGCGGTGCCTAATGACATCTGCATGACTGTCTTGCCACATTCAGGAGTGAGTGACACTACTGGACGGGGAGCAGAATGCAAGGCTCAGAGTACACAATCAGTGGTATAAGGGTGATGCTTTCCAGTGGGGTTCTTACTGGACCAGACTTCTCATCCAAATCCACTGAAGTTCTTTCAAAAGAATTTATCTGTCTGCAGAGGAAGAGCCCCATTTTCCTTACAGCAGGGTTGAGGGAGGTTCTTTTTGTCTGTATAACCTGGCTGAAGTCGGACAGTGACTTGGGTCACCTGCAGGCCAGGAGGCTCTTGTGGAGCCCAGATCTGGGCTGGTCTCTTGGCAGTGCTTTTTGCAAAGTTTGAGGAAAGGTCACGTGGTGTGGATGGTCCTCACACGTGACTGCTGGGCACCGGCCACCAGTGCAGGGGGAGTCACTGGCGCCAAGCTTGCATCTCTGTAACACCTCTGCCTCCTTACTCCCACCCCTGCCCATCTTCCCAAGGAGACAGGCTCAGAAACCTCTCCACTCCCCAGCTCAGCATCTATAACATAGCATCACTCCCCAGCTCAGCATCTATAACATAGCACCTCAGTCCACACTTTCTCATCCTTTTCCACAGCATATCCAAGCTTTACTAGAAACCATCCTACCACCTAACACTGCTGAGCTCCTCACATGCTGAGTATTTTTCTCCAGACAGATACTGGCCAAAGTATTCAGCCAACTTTTATTCAGAGCCAAAGAATAAGTCCCTTCCTCTCACCCTGCAAGCCTGTGCTCTTGTTTGAATGGCACATCTGCTTCAGCAGCACTCAGCACCTGGCCTCGAGCCTGGAGCCATGCCAGCTGCATCCTATACGTTCAAGAGGAGGAGAAATGGGCAGGGTGACTCGACAGCTCTCCCAGCAACTCTACACCAAGACAAAACAGAACTGGAAGCTGCGCTGAGCATTAGCTCTCTGAATAGTTCCCTCTCCTTGTTGAAAAGCTCTCTTAAGATGCCTTATCCAAAGAATGTCATGGGAATGAATTTTGTGCTCCCAGCTCACTATTTGCTATAAGGGAAAAGGCAGTGTAAGGCAGGCCACCACATCCGTTCCAGTTTCCAAAAGGCCTCCTTGTGGAGACCTCCCATGCTTCCAGCGCTGCCCGCTCCAGTCAGTTCTCCACTCAGTCACCAAAGGAATTTTTCTAAGATGCAACCTGCTCACGATCTACCCTGACCACAAGCCCTCAGCAACTCCAAACCCCGTTCATGATAAAGTCCCACTCCCCCACACCTTCTACGAGTTTCTTTATGACCCACCCCTGCCCACCTGTGAAGTGAACCCCATCGCCTGACTCACACTTTCTGTCCCAGCCGCACTGAATTACTCCACGGACGTGTCATGGCGTTTCACGCTTCCGTGCCTTTGCACGGGCTCTTCCCTCGTCACCAGTGTCCTACTAATCCTCTTTTCCTCCTGGAAAATTCCTCTTTGTTTTGAAAACCTAACTCAACCCTCACTCCTTTCAGGAAGTTTTCTCTGGCCTGGAAGACAGCCAATCAACGCTTCCTCACACCTCCTCTGCACCCTTGCCCGTTCTGTAACTTGTTTACATGCCTACTAGACTTAGGAACCTCCTTCAGGCGGGGACCATGTCCTGCCCTCAAGCTTGGTCCATGACCTAAGCTCATGCGTGGTTTTTGAATGCATGGGGAAAGAACAGATGGTTGGATATGAGGTGGCCCCATGGCATAAACTCCTGCAAGGCCCTGGCATGTTCACCTAAATGAGGCCTCCCTGTTTTAAAGGGAATAAAGAGAATGTGTTGAAAGCAAAGTCTGTTGACATCATCTCTGAGCGACAACCACTCAAACATAAAAACTGCATCAGTGGTTGGGTCCCCTCTACCTTTCTCTTAACACTGCCTGCCGCTGATTGTTCTAGTCACAGCGATTGTTTTCTTTTAATGTCAGCATAATGCCTCCTGCTTAGTGGATGCTTAACAAATATTGGGATGAATGAATGAATGTGAAATCTTCTTTTTTTTTAAAAGAAGGCATCAAAGGAGTGGCTTTGAAAGGCATTTGCCTTTCACAGGCTTTTCTGCTTTGGGTTGTCCATCACAAGACTTGACTTAGTCAGAAGCAGAACAGAGAGATGGGTCTGGGTAGCAGTTAGGAATCTGCTCTAGGGACACACAGTATTTGTGTTTTCCTTAGTCATGTGTCAGTTTCCTTCCTTCTCAAGAAATAGCCCAAGGATGATGGTATTTCCTGCCCCAACCAGAAGGCTCTGGCCTCTCCTTTGTCAGAGGTCCACACTGGCCCTTTCACAGCCCACATTCACCAGGAACTTACTGTGCACTGATCGGGGAGAACACAGGTGGTTTCCTACCTTCACTTCAAGTGCTAACATTATGCAGTGGAGACCAGTCACAGAAACGAAACGGTCCAGGACTAAAACAACCACCCTCGGAGATTAAAGTTTTCTGATCATCATAGCTGTTAAGTGCAAAGGCTCTGGACTCAGACGGACCTGGGTTCAAATCCAAGCTCTGAATCTTTCTAGCCAAGTCACTGGAACAAGTCAATTATCCTTTGCGGGGGCTCAGTTCTCCTACCCATAAAATGGGAATAATCTGACCCACATCACAGGATTATCATGAGGGTTAAAGGATATAGTGTATGTGAAGCCTGCACAGTGTGTGTGTGTGTGTGTTGTGTGTGTGTGTGTGTGTGTGTGTGTGTGTGTGTGTGTGTGTGTGTGGGTGGGTGTGTGTGTGTCTGTAGTAAGTGCTCAAAAATGGAAAACTATGATTAAGAACTTTCAAAAATACTTTGACAATATTCAGGACAGAAAGTAAAAATATTCTTTGAAGACACTGTGCTTTAAAGAGAATGGATTGTCTATTTTTTAGGAGTCAGTGATGCTCATAAACCAAAGCCCCAGGGAAGAGTATGAAAAGATAGTGACGGCATCTAAAAAAATAGCTGTGGCTCTTACAGGGCCCAGGATTGATGGACAGACAGTGACAGGGCCAGGGACACGCAAGCCTTTCTCTGAGAGCTGGTCCGAGAGGATTAATCCTGAAGGGCTCACCTCATTCTCCTCTGCTGGACCTAGAGTGACTGAGTCAGAACCCAGAGGAGCCACGGTCGAGGAGCCACGGTCAGGGGGCCAAGGTCAAGGGGCCAAGGATGCCAGTTCCAGGCTGTGAGCCAGGGCTTCTAGGTTTAAGGGAAGGTCAGGGGATCCCAGATGCCGGACCGGAGGGGGACAGGGAGAGCCGCGCTGCCCTGAGAGTCAGGCAATGCTTGAAAGGCATCGCATATCCGCGCTGTCCTGATCCTCCTTGTACAACCCAAAGCCAACAGAGGATCGAAATTTCCCCAAATTTCGGCCCTGCTTATGACAGAAGTTTTTCCTAAGCTAAATTTGGTTTTCGTTTTGAAGTGCCTGAGATGCACTGTTCAAACGGGTCAAGTTCCTGGCTTCTTATATTGATCGAACCATCTTCCACGCTGTGGTTGATCTGGCTGCCCTCACGTCTGCCCACTCTTACAACAATTCCGGCCGTCGTTCCAGAGGTTCCATGAAGAAAGCTCGGGGTTAGTGGTTGGGGGAGCACAAGCTAAGCCATCAGCCCTTGGGAACAAGGATTAACTTCTGGTGGAGGGGACGGGTCCACTTGTGTGGTTCCTGTGAGCAGCAGGGCAGTTACCCTACGGGAAAGAGAAGAGAGATTTCTAAACATAGTGACAGCTCCATCAGCAGGAGGTTGGGTTCACGCAAGGACAAGGACCCTGCTCAGGGGAGCCTCGACCTGTCTGATTTGGGTCTGATTTGTGAGAGCTTGCGGCTGACTTTGGCCCCTTGCCCTGGGCTCAGATCAGGGGCAGCATCCTCACAAGGGCAGCCCACAGCTAGGCAGTGTCGTGTAGTGGAAAGAGCATTGGACTGGGAGCCAGAAGACCTGACTTCCAGTGCAGGCTCCGCCACGAACCAGCTGCATGACCTTGGGAAAGTCACCTGATTTCTGTGGGGCAACTGTAAAATAAGGGGTTGGTGGGGTAATCTCTAAGTTTCCCATCAGAGTGTGATCCAGGGCCTATTCGACCCCTCCTTGGCCCCGTGCTTCCAGGGACAGAGATGGGAGACGGCGAGGGAGGGGAGGGAGGACGCAGATGGGAGCCCCGGGGGGCTGCGAATCAGGACTCCACTTTCTCCTTCTTTTTGCTTTTCTTCAGGAAGGACGGGGTGCGGAATTTCTTCTTCTTCTTTGAGGGAGACTTGGAAGGTGAGCCCTCTGGGGACATGGGACCGCTGGTGACTGACTCTGTTTTGTCCTTCGAGGTATCGACATCCGTGTCGGCGCTGGTGGTCATCTGGCTGAGGCCCTTGCTGAGGATGTCCTCTGCCGTCTGCTCGTCCTCCCTGCCGTTGACCACCACTCCTTCTGGCTGCGTCGTTTCCGGCTCTGTGGTGGCTTTGCTTGTTTCCGTCTTCTTAGCATCTTCTAGAAAAAGATCCAAAGACGTGACCCATAAGATTTCATTCAGGCGAGAGCTTCAACCTTTCTAGGCAATTATATAAAGGAAGAGTCTAGAGCAAAGAGAGGGGCGGGCTGACACGGTAAGGGGAAAGGGGTAGGCAGGGTTCTCTCCCAAATAGGAGAGAACAGGCCCTTGGCAGGCCAGGGACTCTGGGCTCTTGCCTACAAATGTAAACAGGTAATGATCTCCAGACACAGCAGCAGCCCAGCAGGGGCCCGGTTGGGAGCTTTCCTAGGAACAGACAGAAAAGGGAACAGAGGCAGACTACAGAGAGGCTGTAGGAAGGGGAGGGCAGTGCCATGGACAACTCAGGGGATGCATCTAAGAATTGTTGTAACTGGTTCAGTTTCACTAGTAAAAATGTGGAAATGACATGTTTTCATACCCATTTCATTTCCTACACCACTGAGGAACTTTTCAAAAATGGAGAGTATCTTCCCAGTAGGCAGAGAGGGGCAGGCAGAGGGAGGGTGGGATTCCCTGAGTGGCATGGACCCTACAGACTGCCACCCTATTCAAGGCCAGGAGTGAAACCCTCCTGCTGCCCTTTCTCCTCCTTCCCACTCTCTTCCCACCCTGCTTCCACTCAAGCTTTGAAATGCCTGTATGCAGAAGGAGGAAGGAAAATTCTAAAACCGTAGACTTTGAAAAGTAGAAAGGAAGGTAAAGTTAATCTAGCTCCTCCCCATTTTACAGATAGGAAAACTGAGTAAAGCAGTAAAAGCGGGCAGACCTCAGTTTCCTGCCATCCCAGCTTAGTGTTCTTTTCACTACGTGAAACTGAGAGGGGTGTGTGTGATTGTGCATGTGTGTGAGTGTGAGGGATATCACACCACAAGAAAGTGGGAGTGTGGGAGCTGGGGAAGGTGGGAGACTGGTGTCCCTACAGACAGAGTGGGGCAAGATAGATGTCTTGGGAAATGGCTAGGGTTCTTGACAGGGTAAAGACTGGAGAAATGTCTGGTTACATGGAAGATGGGACAGAGGGGAGTAAATTTGGGGACAGTTAACATGGGCTAGTTTAACTATCTGGGTAAGCAAATGTCTTCTCCAATAACTCCTGAGGACTGTCCCCTCTTAGTACTGAAGACCTTGGCCCTGGCTCCCATTCTTCCTACTGTCTGGCCTGCATCCTGCCATCATCCAGCTACCAAGTCCTCTAATGCTCTTGACTCCTATGGCCCTTACTGCCCTCCCACCCACCATGCATTCCCATGGTCATCACTGGCCATTCTCTTGAACGCAGAAAAGCAGTCCAGACACAGCCTTCCCCCTGACCGCTCCCCTCGCTTCTCTTCACCTGCTTTTGGCCTCATCAACCCTCTGGTCCCTGGACCCATCCCTGCCATTGCAGTCTGTTTCCCTCTGTCTGGACCACCCTTCTCTCTCTTCTCTGTGTCCCCAACCTTCACCCACACAATCAATCACCCACATACAATCAATCAATCAATCAATCAAGCTTGAGTGTTACCCTCCGCTTTAAGTCTTTCCCGGTCCCATCCCTGCTTCCAGGTAGAATTTGTCACTCCTTCCTTTCGGCCCCTACTAGATAAATTTCCATTACAGTGACTGTAAAACAATCACTTCTTTTTTTTTTTTTTTTTTTTTTTTTTTTTTT